TCTCTCAGACAAAAGTTGATGGCAGATTTCTTTTTTAAATGAAAGTAGAGTCCCAGGCAGAGACTGCAACTTTTTGGCCAATCCTGAGAGCAAGATGTCAGTGGGACTGCAGTCAGTTTGTTGCTGTGCCTTGTCAACTTGCAAAGTTGTAGATACCATGCAGTTCTTGCTGCGACAGTCGTAATGTGGGTAAAACGTTGAGAGTGGATGACAAGTAAACGACCTACTGAAAAATAAGTGGAGTCTGTTCAAAGATGTCAACAGTTTATTAGTCAAGATTCAATTCAGTTACATACTTGTCAGTTTGTGTACTTTGATTGTATTAATAAAGCAAATGGAAATAAGTGATTATTATATTGGTTTTAATGATTAGGTTGTTATGAATGTGGTCATTCATAAAGTAATTCTATGGAACAAAAATTTTATACCCACAAAGATACATTGGGAATTATTATTGTTATGTAATCATAGCACCCTAAATTGTGACAGATTTCCCAGCCCTATCATCAATAGGGATGCAACGATTACAGATTATTGTCAGAGAAATAATCACGGTTTCACGATTATGCATTAATTTTCACTAGTAATAACTTAAGTTGATTTTTAATATTAAATTACATTAACAATTGTGTTTCTATAATATGTAAGTATTATTACTATAAGAGGAATATTAACTTCATTTATTCCCCAGGGGAAACTGTTAATAAGAGGGAAATAAACTGAATTGTTGTCATCAACTCTCATCTAGACATCATTCATGCAGTGTTATTAATAACTGAAATGCAGGTAATTGGTAGCCTACAGTCCTGAAAGTCTAAAAGCTCCTGATGTTATGTAGTGTTTTACACCTGGCAACATTTTTTCAACACAGATGTAACGTTAAATGTTCAGTGACGGAAGGTATTGAAAGGACTATGTTCTTCCATAAAGAACCTTTCAGAAAAGAAGCGATTTGCGCTGGGTTCAGCACAAAAGTACTTCGACTGCGGCATGGCGTGCGGTGCGCGATCCTCTACACAGCAACAAAGTGCCCTAGCGCGGCGCAAGTCGCTGAAATAATGGGCCTCTTTCTGTGCGGTGGGTCTGAAAGGTTACATGCTGCTTTCTTTGTTTACGTTGTACTGAAAGCTCGACTCTCACCGCTACGGCATCGATTGTAAGTGACACGTTCAGGTTTAATTCCCTATACCAACTAAGGTGGGTCTCTGACATTGACAGCTTTGTGTTGGAGAGATTTGTGCAGCGCTGTTCATGAGAGACGGAGAGAGTGAGCGAGAGATGTTGCGCGAATATATACACTGTAGAAACAGTTACACCTTTAGAAGAGCAGTTGATATTCAGTCCTCGTATAATTATTAGTGTGCAATTATCTGATTAATCCTCTGTCAGTACCACAATTTCCACGGACGGTGTTTATACTGTATGTGCAGTCATTATTTAAAAAAGGCCTAACAAAATTAGCCGAGTGTTATATAAAAAAATCTAAACAACACTAACAAGTATGTGAAATATGTTTAACAAAAAGAAAATGAAGAAAGGAAAGAAAATGCTCGCAAAGGAGGTATTGGGTGTGTAATTGCTCTAGTTTTAGTATAGTGAAAATGGTGTAACTGATCCATACAGGCCAGTAACATTGGAAGGTCAAGACAAGTCATTTTAAAACTCCTTTTATTCACCGGCAGTCTTTGTACTCTGCAACTTAGGTTTTTATTAGAGCACAGAGTAATAATAAATGACTGTTGCTGTTTTTCACAGGTGAAAGTCTCACTTTCACCTCCACCCCACACACAGTGAAGAGAGGAAGACCAGTGGATAATATGTTTTTGGCAGTAAGGATGCTGTCCATTTAAAACCTGAAACACTTTTCAACTCTCTAACAGTTAACAAATACAGAAGGATGCAGCCTTACCCACACTATATAGTATGAGGTGTTACTTTTTGTATGCTCTTGTTTTTCAGATGGAGGTTCTGACCCCTGCGCTGAGTTAGAGATAAGGAGAACTCACTGATGGTGAGTTAAATTGCTTTAATTATGAAATATACAAAAACTCCTGCCTTTGTTTCATACTTTAACTCAGTCAAAAGACAAGTAGAGTACTACTTTACTCTTACTGTAAGTGTATGTGTACTTTTGTTTGAGTGTTTGTTTGTAACTCTTTTCTAATTTATGATGGTCAGTGTTGGGCAAGTTACTCAGAAATTATTATATATTACTAGTTATTACTCCTTTAAAGTATTACTTTACTTATTACTGGGTGGGCAATATTAGATTGTGGACGATTAAAATGTCTCCACGATCTATCTTTTCAGAGAGATCATTACTGTCGTGCTACAGATCACAATCTATTTAGTTCTGTCTGCGTCCTCTGCTGTCTACTAAGGCAACACAGTAACTGTTGGGCCTCATAAAATAACATTAAAGTTCCCCGTGTCCCCCAGCTACTCTGTCTCAACTCTCTGTGATTTACGGAGGTTGCTGATGAACAGATGTGTTACTTGTTGCTAAAGTAACTGCTAAGTGCCATTAAGTAGCTGCTGTGATCTTATAAGCTCAGTTAGCCTAGTGGTCGTAGCTGACTCAGCCCGGACTGGGAGCTCGCAGCACCTGGGAGTGTTTTGTGTTTAACGTTACACCTCTACTCAGGCACTGGAGGTTTTAGGCCTCAGCAAGCGGCGCTGGTTTGGGCACCAGAACAGGAGCCAAGCGTGCAACGACACCGCGCTCAGCAGCCTCCCAGTAAACACTGTATGAACGGGACCGAACACAGACTTTGGACAAGTTTGTGCAGCGGTGTTCACGAGAGAGAAAGAGAGCGCGAGCCAGGAGGTGCTGCACGAATATTTGCTCCTCAATACAGCTCCTCGGTCAAACATGATTTTAAATATGCCTAGTAAAAAAATTTTTAAATTAATGTGGTGGTCAGCGTTGACAATTAACCAAATTATAGGCTAATTATGGGAAACACTGCTTTCACTACCACCCTGCCTTTGCCCCCAAACAAAGCATCTCTCCCGAGTTATTAACTAATATCGTATTCACAACAGCGAGTATGCTATGGTCTTTACATACGGTACCGCTGAGCTGCCGCACAGTCGTGGATTCATGTCAAGGATGGTGCGTTTAGTAACGAGTTTTTTAGAAAAGTAACTACACTTCACTTTACAATTACACTACTAGTTACAGGGAAAAGTAATATTATTACAGTAAAGCGTTACTGCCCAACACTGATGATGGTAAATATTAAATGTGTTTTTGTGACCTTTAACAATTAACCTTTTTTGTCCCATGGTAAGAGAGTTGCAATCATCTGTCAGTTCTTGGTTGTCACATTTAATTAAAGCACTTGAATACACATGAGCATTTTTTAAAAAATCCATTATACCTGAGGTTTCATCGACTAATAGGAAATGATGTTTGTCTGTTCCTGTTGTAGATGAGACCCCCAGGCTTCCACAGAAGAACAAAGTCAAACATGAGAGAGCAAGAGAGCATGGAGTGAGGTAGAGAGAACTGCGATGTAGAGTGCCTGGAAAAAAGGACTGTGAGCAATGTATACATGGAGAAAAGGCCTTGGCTCAAGGGTCATGGAAAGATGTCAAACTTTGTGTACAACACAATTGTGACCCTTAGACAAAGCGGCGCTTCACGTATTCTTAAGAATTCAAAAGCCAAATGTTTTTGCCATTTACAGTCTCCTACTGAACTACTGATTGATAATAATCTGAAATTAATCTATCCTGGACCATATAGTGTCAGATGATGTACTGTAAAAAGGCAAGACTAGCCACAATAAGCTAGTGTTCAGCGTTCCTAAAACTCAAAACCAGTTGTAAAAAATTCAAAGGATTATTTTGTTTTCATTGTACTTTGCAAGACAGTGTTCCTTGTTTTCAATTGATTGTCTGATAATATCAATTTTCTTCATATTGGCCCTCACTTTAATTGGTGAATTAATAGTAGTTATGATACAGTACACTTTACTGTATTTTTTGAGTTGTACAAGAGGCAATAGTTTGTTTCTGGAATAATTTATTTCTGTTTATGCTTAATAAACAATGGATTAGGGGGTGGTGATCTTCAATCCCCCACTGTGAACCATCCACTGTGTCCCTGAGTAAGACACTTAACCCTAGTTGCTCCAGAGGCGTGCGACCTCCGACCTCCGACATGTATAGCAATTGTAAGTCACTTTGGATAAAAGCTTCAGCTAAATGAATAAATAAAATGGATTTCTTTTATATCCCTGCAGCTTTGTTGAAAGTTGTATATGTGGATTGCTCAAGTTATATTTACTTTAGTAAAGCAGTAATTGACCAGTAAGTATGTATGTTTGTACAGCAGTCAAATCGATGGTCACCTCCATAAATTTAGGTATTCTGCTTATCTATGAATCTCAGACTGGGCAATTCTTTTTAAAAATGTCCATACTGACTTATTTTTACATAATGTGTTATACTAGAACATTAAAATTATTAAATTTAATGCTAAAAATAGAAGGTAGTTAAACTAGTCCATTCTGAAACGAACTCAATAGCGCCCCCTTGAAAAGGTCCCCACTCCAGTGGTAAACTGGGTTAAAAAAATTAAAAATTTCCTTCATGTTTTTTAAGGAACTGAGGTGGAAACTGGCATCAAGGTGCCACCCAGTGTTGGAATCTATCATGCATTTGTCTCTAAGTATAGTAGAAAGGGTGGTCCTCACTCCAGCAGTTAATTAACCTGGACCTCACTATGAGGCACGTACAGGAATGTGTGTGCGTGTGTGTGTGTGTGTGTGTGTGTGTGTGTGTGTGTGTGTGTGTGTGTGTGTGTGTGTGTGTGTGTGTGGTAGAGAAAGTGGGAGAAAAAGGAGGGCAAAAGGAAAAGAAAACTCAGGCAGAAACAGAGACACTGAGACATAGATAAATCCTGAACCAAGCAGAGATTGAGGCATAAGCTTCAGCAGAGGAACAGCATATTAGAGAAATGTGTTTTTTTGGGATTCTCTCATCACACTCACTCGCTCCCCAGACCGCGGCCTCTTCTTTGGCCGTGTGGGCAGGGCGTCCTCCTTTGGGTTGGTGTCGATGGCCCAGTAAGAGCCCTGCAGACAGAAGAAAGACCTGTGAGCTGATAAAACATAACAGATGGCTTTTTCACGAGACATCCCTAGGATGTGAGACATTTCCTCTCTGACATGGCAGGATACAAGCATCAAATCTGTCTTTGGCTCTGCAGCTTTCCTGCTTTGGTATTTAAATAATTATTTTAAAAACCAGGAGGCCTCATCTGCTCTCCGAAAGTCTGTCCTGTCAGCCCTAGTCTTTATTTCAGTTGATAGCTGTAAGTTTGTACAGCATGTGGGTGGGCTTTGTTAGTAAGAAATGCTTGGCTTTTCCTCCTCTGTGGCTGCTCCTCAATGAGAGGCTGGTGAGGGCAGCTGGTGGTGGTGAAATGCGAAGCCTTTCCTGAAGCTGTACTTCCTCAGCCTCAGGTACTGAGTTGAGAGTGCTGTTGCCAAGGATGAAGGCTCCGCAGTCTCAGCCCAGGAGTCGAGGCAGCGCAAGCCTTGCCGTGTTGCTTTCTTCTAAGGTCTGAGGAAGGCTAATCAAGGAGAGAACATTTGGGGCTGGCTCTGGGGCTGCAGCTAGCAATTCCAGGCTGCATTATTTATCTTTGCATTCGGCCCCATTTAATTTATTTTTCAACGGTTCCTCCTCGAAACCAACAGCAACGCAGCTTACAGTACAGATTTTTACCCCAAGGCCCGGCAACTTCTGAATTTATTTTGAATATTTCATATGGCCCATGATAAAATCTCAATTGTCATGAGAAAGTGAGATCAGGACCTTTAAAATTACTTCCTTAGCAGAGAGAATAATTGTTATTTCCATAAGAAATTCTCTGAACAACAGGAGAGGCCACAGAACAAGCTGTATCTCAAGTATCTATACAGCAACTGCTGCATACACATAGCATTCTCCTGTTAAAGCCAACAAATCTGTTATTTTCACAGCTCACATACATCACTGCTGCAATTGTAAAAATGAAAAGCCGGGGTTGGCCTATATTCATCATGGGGTTAAAATTATATGTTTTAATATGTGCAAGGCTTTGGGGTCAATTAACATCTTCCTCAGAGGGAAGAATATTTCACAGCACAACCAACCAAAGAAGAAGAAACATCCCATATTGATGTCGGCTACAGTAAAATGCAACGGAAGCCTCATTACACACTCCATGTTTTCTACAAAAAAGCTTCACTGGAGAATGTAAAGGATAAAAAAGTATGCCATCTCTGTGTTGAAATACAGAGGTTAATTGTGGGGATGCAGGTGCAGATGTATCAAAATTAGGAATCACAGAGACAAAGCCAGGCTTGGTGGTGTTTCTTTTAATTAGGTGGGGGGAGGGGGGGACACATTAAGTTAACCCTCATGGGAGGGGAGTTTCTGCATTTCCCTACACCCACCCCAAGAGAGTTGGCAGGAAAAAAGAAAAACATATAAAGAGTCATTAAATTATTCACAAATATACTGCAATATAGTGTAGCAATGCCAAGCGAAGTGTGTCCGTGGAGCAACAACACAGCAAAGCCAAAAAAATCTCTGCAGCCATAAAACAAAGGCTGCTGTAAAGATTATTTTTTAAAAACCCGATCCTGATAACAGATGTGCTCTCTTCCCATAAATGACGCAGCTCATTTTCATACATCAACATAAATTATGTCATCTAGTTCCCCTTTTGTGTGGAAATCTAGGATAAATGCAGGGCAAACACACTGGTCACCCTGGAAACTCCAAGCCGAGCAATTAAAATACAGATTATTAACGGTAGCCTTTGGAGGCTGTGTTTCTACCTCTGAGGTAGACAGGCTGTGCGTATGTACAATAACAACTGTCATCTCTTACACCATCTCAGAGAGGTAGAGACAGACAGAGAGCGACATGACTCTCCTATCTCATCCAACCAGCAGTTCTCATATTCCTGCCACATTACAATATTGATGCAACATATCAAGAGCGGCTAGCGCCTCTTTGAAGTTGTCTTCGGGGGGAAAGGAGTGAGGAAAATTCCAAATTAAACATTAAGGATGCGAGCATGTTGGCCATGCATTTGGAATGGGATCCATACAGCAATAGATTATTTTGTATTTAGTGGAGCAGCTCCCAGGAGTGTCAATATCAGAGGATTACAGCAAAACATGAAATTAGCATTCAGTCCCCATCCTCTACACGGCTAGGCGTAGCTCTTCATGCATGTGTTGGTGTGTGCGTGTGTGTAATTATTTGTGCGGGTCCCTAAGCATATGTAGAGTATGCTTTGACAGTGCCGGGATGAAATCTGGGTTACGCTACATATGGTTAACACCTATGCACACCATCATACTAAATATAGGGCCAAAGGCTTCTTCTTCATGAACTACTCAGTGGAGCAAGGGACACTATTTATCAGGCTGATGTCACTAAAGATTGTGAAGTAAATCAGACTGAAAAAGCAACTGTAGGTGGTCCTACTGAGATTCAAATGTCAAATTAACATGTTGGTCTATACATTCTTTTATACAGAGAAGAAAAATGTGAGACAGAGAGCTGAGTAGAGAGCAAATGAGGTCTGATTTTTTTGCCCCCCCCCCCCCCCCCCCGGAGTAGGTTCAGCACCTTGAGTAACTACTTGAGGGACGCAAGAGTCTGGAAATGACCTGACTTGTACCGTGTTACGGCCCCGACTCTACCAGTCTTTGACTTTTCTTTTTTTTTTTCCTCCTCTCACCCACATCTGCTGTCTGGGCTGGTCCAAAAAAACTAGTCTCTCCTTACATTTGAAATGCAATTCTGTGGAGGTGGGAGGTTCATAATAGATTACGAGCATGCCATGAATTTCCAGACTGTCAGAGTCCTGGCAGCCATTCAAAGGTAACATTTTTCTACCAGAGATAGCATGATACACACCACAAAAATGTTGTAACAGTGAATTCCGCCAGCTGAGAAACTAAACTAGACGTATTCTCCTACTTTTCTTTTTTCATAATTGCATACATTCTTCTCGGTTTATAATCACATTCATGTTTAAAAGTCTCACCTTTCCTGGGTCATCTTTGGAGCGAGGCACTTTGAGAAAACACTTGTTCAATGACAGATTGTGCCGTATTGAGTTCTGGGGGGGAAACACAGAGAGAGAGAGAGAAAGTAGGTGAGGTGAGTGAACACAATTCAAAAATCAGATTACACAAATAAGTCTGTAGTACTTGAGTGTGGAGAACATCAATGCCAGCAACAACAAGGGCATACAACTTGTTACACTTATCATTTAGGTTTAGTCACAGCTCCTGTCATCGAGGTTGGCTTGTTGCAGTGGCATTAGATTTGGCCTGCAACTGTGTCCAGACTTCACTCTACAGGCATATAAAGGAGCTCAATCTGTATACAAAGGCACCAGGAAGCAATATCTTTCATCAATGTCCAACTAACTGTATTCTGGTTGCACAAATATATCGACTTCCACGGGTGCCAAAAATAGGAGCCAGAAGGAATCCCACACTGGGATGGTTGCTGATACCAGGGCCTGATATTAATTAATGCTTCAGCGAGCTCCTGTGGGGGCAGGAAATAAATTATGTAGATCATTCTGAAAGTTAACTCATTACAGTGTTACAAGCTACTCTACAGTGGTGAAGAGAGAGGTTCATCCAGCTGCCTGATTGGGGGAGGCGAGGTGGGCTAAAGTAGCCACAAGGGCTGAAGAGCAATGCTCCAGGCCTGGGTTAACCAGCTACAGCAAGGCCCTCAGAACCAACTGGAGGCAGGCCAGCTGAGGGCTTACAAGAGTAAATGGATGCACACGTTTCTCCACTCCACTTTATGGAGTGGTATTGACAGATGGCCACGCTGAAAAGCTGTAGGATTCTCTGATGAGTTTAACGGATGCAGGAGATGAGCGCACAGAGACAGAGAGAGAGAGAGAGAGAGAGAGCGAGAGCGAGAGAGAGAGCGAGAGCGACCCAAGTGCAAAATATGGGAGCGGTTTGAAAGTATAGGCAATTATACCACAGGAAAGATGATAATGGCAGCCTCGTTGTAATGCTGTCGATCTCGCTGGTTAAATCACTTTGAAATGCCAATGCAATCCAGAAGAAATCTAACGGTGTTCTCCAACGGAAAATACAGAGGGTGAAACTGGCGCCACAGTCAAAAATAATTCTGTTCTTGTGCCAGAAGGAGATGTTTTCTGAAAGTGAAACTCAACCCAAAATATATCTTTTGACTATCAAACAATCGTCCCCGTAGGCTCCTTCGCAAAGAATTCATGTTACAATGGATCCTACAAAATTTGTTCATGACACTGGCTCTCTGTTGCAGCTCACATCAAGTTAAAGTTTAAGACTCTGGTGCTAGCCTGTAGGGCAGTGACTGGAACTGCTCATTCCCACCTCCAAACCACAGCCAGACCCTGCGCTCTGATGCGACCACTGCACAAAGGAGCACTATGCCCCTGTGGTCGCTCATCTGCCCTGCGGTGGTGGAATGAACCATCTACAAACAGCAGCGTTTATTCTGCCGCAGGCTGACAACCCAACTTTTCAGACAACACCTTGACAGCCCATGCTAGCACTTACTTAGGTCTCATTTCTCCTCATTGTCCTAATCAATTGCACTGTAACGTTGAACATGCTTTTAGTTGTTTGTTCAAGAGGTTTGCACTTCAAAGTTTTGACTACATTGCATTACTCTTGCTCCTATCAAGGTTGAATTCATTTATTGTAAGTCGCTTTGGGCAAAAGTGTCTGCAAAAATCAATGTAATGTTAGAATGACAAGCTTTCACAGTGAAAGAAAAATGTTAAATGGAACCTCTTAACACACCTGTATCATAATCCAGTGCTCACACACCACTACTAAAAAAAAAAAAGGGCTAAAGAAGCTCATTCCATATCACAATATCGCCTTTCCTCTACTTGAAGTAGCATAAATAGCCTTAATATGACAAAATATGTCTGTTTACAACTGAGCATGAGAAATTGACAGGATAATGCTGTAGGACATTTTGACACTTTTTGCGTTTAAGTGCTGATGTTTCTGAACAGTCGCTTTTCAAGACAGCAGGGCTGTGTGTTTGATACTCAAAAGATTGTGGGTGGAGTATCACCAAAATACCCGAACTGAGGATATGTTATCCATACAGACAAAGACAACAGCACAAAATACAATAGAAGGGGTAATAAGAGACACACACTCTCACAAGTCATATACCAGCTGGCTGTCCTACTCCTTTAGGTTTTCAAGAATAACACTGATTAAAACCTGTTCCTACAAAAAAAAACTGAACACAGAGAAGTTTAGAAGTTTAAAATCTAACACAGTCATTGACCAATAGTTTTAGTCCTACTTTCTTTCACTTTAGGTATTACCACAGGCATACAAAACATTATCAACCATTACAGCCTCTGTTACACACCAAAATACACTGATGGAACAGATGGATGAACCACAATATATTTTGGTCACACTGCTATCGGATATTCAAAACTATATGCGGAAACACCAAGGCTTGCACTGCGATCAGTACTCTCTGTGGTCGTAATCCAGCCACAAAGAGCTGATCTGTAGAATCAGATCTGAAATAGTCACATAGACCTGACGCATGATGTATCCAAATGCTGTAAAAGACAAGCAGTGATCTGATGGCCCTAGAAGTTAGGGACTTATCGACTGACCCCAACGTTAAGTTGAGTACACAAACATGTTGAGGGATCCTGCCTCCTCTCAGGCTCATAGATGCCCTTCCTTGTCCGCAGCCTAGCCTGACTAATTTACACAGGCTGCAGTGACAGCACCATTACACAGGCTTTGTCCTTTTAGCCAGAGGAATAAAACAATGTGAACGCAGAATGTGATCATGCATAGTGGATGGTGACAAACAGATACGAGGCTCTCAATTTAACCAGCCTTTGCTCCTTTAACACCCTGAGACATGTCCAACAGGGGAGTCTGAGCTGGCGGGTGTGTGATGCAAGCTGCACATTGCCATACACTTAAGTACTTAAAACCATTTCTTCCTTCACAGCCTCTGTGTGTGAGCCACTTGATGCCAGGCGGACAGAAGCAGCAGAACTTGCACAGAGAGGTGGCTCTATCCATTAAGGACCTTCTGCTGGCCCTAAATCATTGATACAGTCAAGCAGCCAAGGCCTGCTGCTACATAAGAAGTTTACTTTTTAATGAACTCTGCCTGCCTGCTCTCTTCTCCTCCAGACAGGCCCCAAGACGTCCTGTACTGTGTCACAAAAACTCCTTCCACTGCTTTAGACACATTTGTGGTGTGAAACTAACAGGCTGTGGGTCATTTGTAGGCGAAGAGATGAACCAGAGTGAAGGGAGGGAGAAATGTGACAACGACAGTTGCTGCATTTGATAGATCATAGTGTATTTGCTGAGTAGGAGAGAAAGGAGGAGAGCAAGACAATGATAGGCTGATGAAAAATTAAGGCCAATTACCACTGTGCATATAAACAATGTCTCAGCATTTGAGCTGAAACTTCTTAGATTTATCATCTAAGTCCATATCAGAATGAGAACGAGAATCAGCTTTATTGAATTTGACTCAGGATTGTACATTGTATGAGTACAAAGTATTCACTTTAAGACAGCAGGATATAAGTTGGTATAAGAGGATCTACAGTAGAGAGGGAAGTGAAGTAGGTGGTAGAGGTCAGAGGGTGTGAACAGTGGTACACAAAGTGAGTCAGACAGAGCTCACTACAGGGGTCCTGCCCAAGTGCTGCCCAGCATCTACCTGCAACCCCCACAGAGCACTTCATATCAAACCTCTGCACAGGCCTTTGTGTGTGCGTGCATATGTGTGTTATACCTCCTATACACAACTAAAAAAAAACCTCACAAACAAACACGCACAAACGGGAACGTGTCTCCTAACAAATGGCGTTGATTTAACACACCAGGACAGCAGTGGAGGCGTAAGCAGCACCGCCCTCGCTGCCCCCCCCCCCCATTGGCCCCCCCACTGAGGAGCGCTGCAGCTCAGCAGAAGGGCCGCCAGGGGAAAGTAGGTCAGGCTGACCTCTGCGCTCAGCGTGTCAAACGTTCAGAGTGAGCTAAAGGGACAGGCCATGTCAGAGCCCTGCTCCTCACAGCTGGGGAGGAGGAGGCACCCTGCGCACGCGGTCAGAGACCCAAGGGAGCGAACTCGGCATGCTGGGACAGACACACGTACGCACACATACTGGTTATGACATAAGGACGAACACCAGCAACGGAGGGAGAGCAAGAGTCACACTGCGGTCCAACGTGAATAAATCAATGCCCCCGTAGGTTCCTGGCCTTCCCACATTCACACCATCTTCCTGCAACTTCATGCCTCTAGACAAAGCTTTAAAAAAGAAAAGAAAGGAAAAATAAAGTGCGGGGGCTCTTACCAACCAACACACGACCCACTCTTATGTTTTCCACAACTAACTACAAGCAACAAGAGGCATTAGTCCAGTTGAAACATTCCTGAGACCAAGTGAGTCTGGCATGACCTAGGGGGGCTCTTAAGGTGTTAAGATTAAACTCCAAATGGAGAGGAACTTAAATGCTGCCAGATTTGCTGTCTTTTTGATCAAAGTTTTCTCACTAGTGATGCAGTGTGTGGGAAAAATAGGCGGTGGTGAGCGGTGTCAGGAACCAGTGGTCTAAACATAACAATAACCTCTGGAACTGCTCATAAAGGCAAATATTCCAAGTAAAAATGATTGTTGAGTTTCATTTCACATTTCCAATAAAGAGCAGGTCAGGGGAGAAAAGCAAAAAGATGCACTGTTAAAAGCTCAGAGTAAGGAAAGGTTAGTTTAGGTGACATTGCATTCTCAATCACAGTACATGTCCCTTTTTCAGTTGAACCCATTTTGTATGAAATCAACAGTCTTTTCACATTATACAGAATGTACCACTGGGCTTTCCGAGCAAAAAAACCCCAGCTATGTAAAACATATTATGCAGACCTGTGTTGTAACAAATGATATCCTGAAACAACAGCCAAACAATAATCAACATGTACAGTGTTTACAACACAGTGAACCGTAGATATCGCTATAAAAAGTGGCCGATGTCAGAGTAGACTGCAGTGAAAAAGCAGAATTTAATCACCATGTGAAAATTA